GATGGATAGATAGTCAGATTATAGGTAGATAGATAGATAGTCAGATTATGGATGGATGGATGGATAGATAGTTAGATTATGGATGGATAGTCAGATTATGGATGGATGGATGGATGGATGGATAGATAGAGTCAGATTATAGATAGATAGATAGTCAGATTATGGATGGATGGATGGATAGATAGTCAGATTATAGATGGATGGATGGATGGATAGTCAGATTATAGATGGATGGATAGTCAGATTATAGATGAATAGATGGATAGATAGATAGTCAGATTATGGATGGATGGATAGATAGTCAGATTATAGATGGATGGATGGATGGATAGTCAGATTATAGATGGATGGATGGATGGATAGTCAGATTATAGATGGATAGATGGATAGATAGATAGTCAGATTATGGATGGATGGATAGATAGTCAGATTATAGATGGATGGATGGATGGATAGTCAGATTATAGATGGATGGATGGATGGATAGTCAGATTATAGATGGATGGATGGATAGTCAGATTATAGGTAGATAGATGGATAGATAGATAGTCAGATTATAGATAGATAGTCAGATTATGGATGGATGGATGGATAGATAGTCAGATTATAGGTAGATAGATGGATAGATAGATAGTCAGATTATAGATAGATAGATGGATAGATAGTCAGATTATAGGTAGATAGATAGATGGATAGATAGAGTCAGATTATGGATGGATGGATGGATAGATAGTCAGATGATGGATGGATAGATAGTCAGATTATAGATAGATAGATAGATAGATAGATGGATAGATAGTCAGATTATAGGTAGATAGATAGATGGATAGATAGAGTCAGATTATGGATGGATGGATGGATAGATAGTCAGATGATGGATGGATAGATAGTCAGATTATAGATAGATTTATAGGTAGATAGATGGATAGATAGTCAGATTATAGGTAGATAGATAGATGGATAGATAGTCAGATGATAGATAGATAGATAGATAGATAGATAGATAGATGATAGATACATATATGATGGATGGATGGGTAGATGGATGGATGGATGGATAGACAGACGGATGGATGGATGGATAGATAGATAGATGGGTAGGTGGATGGATGGATAGATAGATAGACAGATAGATAGATGGATGGATAGATAGATATATGATGGATAGGTAAATAGATAGATGATGGATAGATAGCTCGATAGATGGATAGATAGATGATGGGTGGGTGGGTGAATAGATAGATAGATAGATAGATAGATAGATAGATAGATAGATAGATAGATAGATAGATAGATAGATGATGGGTGGGTGGATAGATAGATAGATAGATAGATGATG